GCCTTATTTTGGCTAATTTTGTTTCACAAAAAAAGTGATAAATTTGATGTTTTCTTATTTGAAATTATTATTCAACGTAGTTGAGAGTGGGAAGCCATTTTATTTTTTGTTGTCTTGAAAAATCAAAAAAACAAGTAGCACCCTTACTTGACGAACTTTTCAAGTCCTCAATTTCTATTGTCGATCGCAAAACTGAGTGAGATAAAATGATCAATTTTCAAATAGACTTCATTTTTTTGAGATTTATTTTATTAAGAGCCAAGTTTTTATTTAAAGTTGTACGGTACTAGCATGCGACAAAAGTTTCACATTCAAAACAAGATTTGTTTTGGTATTGAGGCTATTAGAATATAGTCTGAGACTTGCTGACAGTTAAGAATTTTTGACAATCAGTGAAAAACAGTTCAAAAGTGAACTTGGAATTTTTATATTGGACATTTTCAAGTTTACATCGTGTTTAGGTTCGGATTCGGTGAGTAACTTTTCTTACCATCATCAATGCATTCATTATGCTTCGAAAACACTCATTGTAAAGTGGAAAATGCTTGATCACAATTTTGAACTGAGATTTCGATGCCGACTAGACATTTATTGGCTTGAAGTTTTGAATTTCTTTTTTTTCTCGAACATTCAAATCAAGAAAATCAATAAAAACGAGCAAAAATATACTAGCTTTAGTACTTTAAAAAGTAATAAGCAACCATCAAAAAAACCGATGAAAGGCAGGTGGTTTGAAAAGCTCAACTGGACCAAACCAGTAACTGTCCTGTTTGGTACCGGTTTCAAGGTGAGTTTATAGAAGACTATGATCTATGCAATTGTTGAAATGACATATAAGTCATTCTGGTGTCTATTGTACCGTTTTTTTTTGAAAAAATGATCAAAACAAAAAGTAAACGGCTGCACTTGAAAGTGTCACCATTTGATAGAGAATACTTCGAAGTATAAGAAAAAATGGTTTTGCAAACTACCACTCTTGTCTTTTGTCTGATTTAGAGACCGAAAGGTTTCTAGGAACTCATTAAGGGACCTTTTGTCTTTTTTTGAGTGAAAAATGATGGCATACAGGAATTAACATGATCTTATGAGTTTTAAAATATTTCCTTTCGAGTTACATATCTAGAAGAAGCAAAAAAATAATCAATTTTAGACAAATTTTTTTTCGAATTTTCAGTCAGGTAGAAAGGTGGTATAACTAAAGACTAGGACATTTCACTGTATTTTTTTAATAAGTTTCTTCAGGAATGAGTTAGAGTCTTGATATTTACAATATAAGTTGTACCTACCAATTGACATTTGTGTTAAAAAACTCAGCTCTTAACTCCTTGTAGTTTGGTCAGGAGATACGCAAAAGGGGTGGGACAACCATAGGAAAAGGTAATTTTTCTATATTTTTGAATTTCTTTCGTTAGAAAGGAGTTACAGCCCTGATATTTACAACACAAGTTATGCTTGCCAATTGACACCTATGATAAAAAAATCAGCTCTTAACTCCTTGTAATTTGATCAGGAGAGAGGCAAAAGGTGGTGGGACAAAATAAAGGGGTGGGACATTTGACTGTATTTCTTTAATAACTATCTTCAGAAATGAGTTAGAGCCTTGATATTTACAACATAAGTTGTGCTTACTGATTGACACTTATGATATAAAAATCAGCTCTTAACTCCTTATAGTTTGGTCAGGAGATAGGCAAAAGGGGGTGGGACAAATTATGTGTCACATGCCAGTTGACAACACTAAGATGTAAATTATTCAAAAACGGTAAAAGGTAGTAAATTGCGGTTTTCAGCAATCGATAGTGCATAAATTGGTGAACCTTTGTATTTAATAAAATTTGAATTAAAATTTTTATCGGTTTCACAGTAGATTCAAAAGGGGGTGGGACACTTTTTTTGATATTTTCTGGAATCATTTATAGAATGTCAAATTTCTGTGAAATGACAATAGCTGGAGGGAAAATAATGTTATGAGCAGATAGAGCATTCAAAATTGATATAAGAAAACTAATTAAACACCGTTTACATTTTTTGTTTCAAGCTAAAAAAAACACAGAAAGAAAAGCAACCAATTTGGAACCATAGTAAAAATGCACAAAAAAGGTGGAAAAAGTAGTTTATTTTCAGCATTTTTCGTAAACGATAAAAGATAGAAACCTGATTTTAGCAGCATAAGTAGAGCATGACTAACAGATATTTTGGTATTAATTTCGAGCAATTTGACCGAACAGTAATTGAGAAATAAACAAGGCCATTCTTGACGACCAAACGGTACAATAGACACCAGAATGACTCATATATATGAGATTCTGTTGTCTTCACTGACGCATTCGCTGTTGGAATGGTCCACGAAATAAAATAATGTCGATGTGAGAAGACATCCTTTTAAAGTTAATGGAATTTTACGGAGGTATTATACTGTTTGGTACTCAAATTGTTTGCAAAATAGTTTGAACTCATTATGTAATTGCATTCATCTTATTGAACATTAATATACATAGATTGAGTAGTTATTGTCAATGAGAATAGATTGACTTTAGAGTGCGTTGGCATGTATTGCTATGAAATCAACATGTTTTCCTGTCGTATGTAGTCGAAATCGAGCTGATGAAGTCTTGACCGAAAAAAGTCACAAATATGTTCATGCAATTGACCAGTTTCTTGTTGCTGTATTCACTATAATCGTTTTCTTTTGTAACAAAGCTGTACAAAATAATTCAAAAATCAATATATTCAATTCGTAACGTGAATTGATTTAAACAGAATTGAAAGAAGTTTTCAAAATCTGTAAATTCAATTCAAAAACCAAGCTTCTTATAATTGTTACGAAACGATGAATTTACGAAAGCTGGCCTCAGAAAATATAAAGTGATCTGATTTTTGCTATAATATTTTGTTAGATTCTTACTGAGAAATGCATGAATCATACCTGTGTCCATATACATCGCTTTTTTATTCGGATAAAGCTATCAGTTTTTTTTCTTTCATCGCCTACATATTGTGTACATCTAGTTTATGTTCGTATGCCATTAATGAACCCGTATATATTTCTATCTCTAAAGGTTACGGATAAACAGTGATCGTTTTCTTTACATATCGATTAACCTAACATCATATACTGAACTTCTCGAGATCACAACTGTATCATTCAATTCAAAATCGATCATGTCATCTGAATTCAATTTAACTCATGAGTTCAGTTAAACCAAATTTAGAAAACATTCTTGAGAATCTATACGTTGAATTGTATTGACTTGCAACAATCTACAAATTCATTTCAATTGAATTGCGAAGTATTTTGTCAGCTCTATGAATTGAATGAAATTCGATTGAAGAATTATTTATTAGCATTTCATCACTTGAATGAAGATGAATTGAGATGCCTAACTGTGCGTTATACATACGTCCTGATGCGAATGACTATTTGTATGGGAGAACATGCATTAGAATATTGGTATTAAGTGAGTATTCATCAAAATAAGACTAATATATTTTATCCAGTCATTTCGATATCAAATTATATTATCGAAATAAAATGGAATCACTGTTTGTCAATGTAATTTATTACATCTTTTTTTTTTCATTTCATATTATTTATATCATATCTTTCGCAGAGACAAAAGAGATAACAAAATAAGGCTAATATAGAATTGGTAGTTCTACGACGTTTCACGTTCATCGATAGAGGCTAAAAGACAGAAAACTTATATAAATTGATAGTGAAGGAAAAACTTTCAGTGCAATCTCTATGGGATTAAAATATTAAACACGATGGAGCTACTCCAACTCTTTTGGATGCTCCTCAAGGAGAAGAAAAAAATTTCGTACTTCAGCATACTTCAAGAGTATATCAAAACCATCCTCTAGAACTTCTTAGCTGTTTCAATTCTACTATCAGTGAGTGTCTGATCCTCTGCACTATTTTCTATCTAACTGCAATGAAGAAAATGCGAACATAAACTTTTCTTAATTGAGAAAATTTTTCCTTTGTTTTTTCACTTCCAACAAATATAACTCGAGATAGAAGTGATGTAGACTGCTGAAAATTTCAAAAGTATAGAAAGTCATTGAAAGAAGTATCCTCTGAAATTTTTAAGTCACTCAGAACTTCCGAACAAGAGATATTCATGGTTTAGTATTAATGATGTAATTGTACAAAGGGAATACTATTCATCCATTGGTATTTTATATATTACCTACGAATCACATTAAAAACATAAGCTTCAAGATCTCTTCTGTTCTTTTTTTTTAGTCGAAGTATCCTAAGATAAACTAATGTCCGCGCCAGAATGAAAGAGGGGTAGGTGTAAGCTGAATAACTCGACAACCGCAATAGGGGAGGGATGCAACTCGTCACGATTTTTTATGTCTGGCTTTCGTAACGAATTGACAGTACGAAAGCCCGTAACAGAGCTTTCGTAACGACAGAATCAGGGCTTTCGTAACAAAAAAACAGGGCTATCGTAACGAATTTTACAGGGTAACCGTAACCGGTGATTTGATATGTACCATTTGAAAACATCATATCCTCAATTACAGGCATTACGTAATCAATTTTACAGGGCTATCGTAACGAATTTTACAGGGCTAACGTAACGAATTATACAGGGCTATCGTAACGAGTTTTACAGGGCTATCGTAACGGTTATTACAAGGCTATCGCACTGTAAAAGTAGTATATGAATATTTATAATTACAGGGCTTTCGTAACAAAAAATCAGGCTTTTTACAGAAAGAATGTTTATATCCATTGTTTGCTGTGAGATGATTATAGTATGTACCATCTTTCAGAATGTCCGCAGCTTTTCAGATGTCTTATTTAACTTATGGTTCAACGCACATTATTCGTGTCTTTACACAGCTATAGATGTCACTGTGTTACATAAGAGCAGTAACGAGCTATTCAGTAAGACAATGATTGGTAAATATACTAATACACTAACAATGATTGGTAAATATACTAATACAGTAACGATGATTCTCCATACAACATTGTAAACGTAATGGTTGCAGAGACTCGGTCAGCGAAAAGAGCTGCTGCTGCAGCTTCTACTAGCACTACTTCTTCATCACCAAATAGTCATATCACTTGTTTGTCGTCATTCTCATCTTCTATATCTACATCAGTGACTACATCAGGTAACACTCGAGGCAGAAAAATTAATCGAGAAAATGTTCGTAGTTCCTCACCATCAATACCACGTTCAAGTTTAAGTAAAAGCGAGTAAGTCTTTTTTATTCTTTTAATTTCAATTCTTCTTCTCTGCTTTATTTTTCTTTTCTATTGCTCTGTTCAGACGTTCAGTTACAGTGCAATTATCACCTAAATTCAAAAATTCTTCATCAATTATGTCTTCATGTTCATCATCATCATCTTCTTCAATATCATCTCGATCTTCGTCTACATCTTCTACATCATCGAACGACAGTATTTCTTCGTTAAATTTGTCTTCACTGTCACTAACATCAACAACAGATTGTCCTAAATCATCTCCACCAGTTCAATCTACGGCTGTTGATAATCCTATACCATGGTACAAATCTCAACGTGGTATAACTATTTGTTTAGATGGTTATACATATCAAATTCATGGTCCACTTAAAACAGGAATTAAATGGAAATGTTATTTGTATCGTGATCCGAATAAAAGATGCCCACGCTTCATCATTACATCAGCAAATACTGGTACACCAGATGCACCAGTTTATACCTATATTAAGGCAACAGCTGAGCACAATCATTCTCCTGATCCAATAGTGCAAAAGAAAAATATTTTTATTTCAAAATTGAAAGATTTATCATCTGATCCCAGTGCTCCGCCTTCAGTCGGACAATATAATAAGTTAATAGCACAAATGACATTCACACATGAAGAAATGAAACACTTACCAACATTTAAAAGCCTAAGTACGTATACTTTTATTTCTTATGTTTGTCTATACTTCGCTTTACTGAGATATATAAGTAGGCTAGATCTATTTTTTTCTGTCTTGATCTATAGGAACAACATTATGGCGAGCTCACCATAAGAATATGCCAACTCTGCCAAAAGATGTTTTATTCTCAATATCTGAACAATTTAAAGTAACAAACGATGAACAAGAATTTATTGTTATTGATCATATTTATGGAAAAGAACAAAAGAGAATTATTTTGTTTTCCGGTCCTGAACAATTTAAATTATTATGCATCAGCACCCAGTTATTTGCTGATGGTACCTTTGTCGTTACACCATGTCCATTCAAGCAAACTTATGTAGTTCAAGCATTACATGAATCAGGAATTGGTAAGTTTTATTTTTCAATCCAGAAATTTGAAATTATGTTTTTCTTTCTTCATTTATGTTTGGTTCGTTTTTCTTTTGCTTTTTAGTAATACCAGTTGCTTGGATTTTACTCAACAACAAGAAAACCTTGACTTATCAATTATTATTTAAACTTTTACAATCAGCAGCACAAGAAAGAAAACTAAAATTCTCACCTAAACGTTTGATGACTGATTTTGAAACTGCAGTCAAATCAACATTTACAATATTAGTGAGTATTGCTTTCACTGTTTGCAAAAGGATATGGCTTTTATAACGAGATTTGTATCACAGCGATGACAACGAAAGTTACTCTTGTTTTTCTTTTTATAGTTCCCTAAAACAATTCATGATGGATGCTTTTTTCATTATTTAAAATCCATCATTAAACGTTTAAAGAAATATGGCTTATGGAAGAATTATTTAATTGATGATCATGTTTATTTGCTTGTAAAAAAATTAATGTCATTACCGATGTTAAAACCTGATTTAATGGTTGTTGGATATAATTTGATAGAAAAAGAGCTTGGTGAAAATAAAAATTTGAAACAATGTAAAGTTCAATTAAATCGTTTATTTGTTTACTATTATAATCAATGGTTGAAACCAGGACATATTCAAATGGTCAATGTTTATGGAAAAGAATATAGAACAAATAATTTCAGTGAAAGTAAGTATTACAGAAGTCCTTCTGAACGAATATCGAAATCAAGAGAGAAATTGATTCTTTT